GTTGTGAACAATACGCAAAATAGCAGGCCCCCGTTGAATAATCAAGTGCCACGCAGAATGCCTGCGCCCCTCTTCTGCCACGCGGGAAAGAAAAGGACCTCATCTCAGCCCCCCGGCCATCTCCAATCCAAGCGCGCGTCGGTGGAGAGGTCCCAATATCCTTCTCAACCCCTCTCCTTCGAATTTGTGGCCTGCCCCTCCCCGCGCGCCATCTGCGCCCCTTGCCGGGGCACTCGGCCGCGTCCACTGTCAGTTCCGCAATCCCGCGGGCGACGCAGCGGCGCGGGCGGGAGATCTGCCGGCGGCGCGCGTGCTACTGGCGCACTTTTTCCAACCAAGCAGGCGCGCCCAAGGCGCGAGAATCATCGGAGACGTTCCGAAATGCTCTCTGGAACGGCCGCAGCCCAAGATGCATCCGCATGACCCGCCCAGCTCTCAGTGGCCCCCGACGCACTTCGCCCCAATTCTACGGGCATGCTAAGAAACGCGCGGGCCCTAGATCCCAGAGCACGGTTGCCACGAGAGCAGCTTTTCATCCCGAGCGGTCTTTGCCAGTCCCGAGGCTGGTGGAGGGCCCAGGGGGGCCTGGCTCGACGAATGGCCTCGAGGCCGCTCTCCCTCATGACCCCTCTCCATCGCAGCGGATCATCTATATCTCCTGCCCTCGCCTGTTCCACCGCCCCCGCTGACGGGGAACGACGCGGGGGGCGCGGCTCAGGGGGGGGGGCATCGAGCTTGAATCGGCGATGCGTCGCTGATAAAGCGGCGACAGTCCCCCGATTGGCAGGTCTGCGCGATCCTCGGCGGAGTGGGTTATCAGGCCCCCGTCGGCGATGAATGGGCGCTGGGGGTCGACGCGCCCGCCCCTGAGCCCACCCGGCGCTGCGTCTGACCTTCGCCCGGCAAACTGCGTGCAAAAAATGGCCCTGGGCAAGCGGTTCTGTTCTCATGTCTGCGATCGCGCTCGCGACCCTGGTCGCTGCGCTGTCCAATATCTTCGCCGCGGTACGCTGCGACAAAAAACTGATTCCCCACGACGGAACGGATGCCATCCAGAATGGGGCGGCCGCCGGCGCACATCCCAACCTACGCGATCCCTCATGCGTCTGCGTTCCAAGCCCACCCCAACACAACGCGACGCCATGCTACCCCATAGCCACCGCGATCCCCCCGCGGTCACCGCGGCCCGGCCCCGCGGCACTTTCGGCGCTCTCGCTCCGGCCCCATCGCCCTTGCAGCCCTTGTGAACGTTCGCGCAGCAGCGATGCACGCGGCGCAGAATGGCTCCGAAAGCCGGCCTGAACAGAACAGGCCGCCCCAGCCTGGGGTCTAGCGTCGCGCCCATCCAGGGTCTGGCTGTAGTGAGCAACCTGCGCCCGATATCTGTGCTGTCTCCTGCTCTCGTGCAACGTCCGCGGCTGCTGCTGATACTGCTGCTGCTGCTGCTGCTGGTTCTGCTACGGCTGCTGCTGCTGCTGCCTCGTCGCTCTCGCACGCAGCTGCCGCGGCCAGCGCCGCGCGCCGCGGCCTAGCCAGCCTGGGCTGGGTCGCGGCATCAGCGCGGGTCGCGGCTGAGGGCCCTTGAAAGTTCTGGCCCTCCACGTCCTCGTCCTCCCTCCTCACCTCCCCCGCCTCCTCCTCTGCCACTGCCTCTCCCTCCCTCTCCGCCTCCTCGACCGCCTCCTCCCCCTCCCCCTCCTCCTCCTCAGGCTCTGCTGCTCGCCCAGAATCCTGAGCCGACTCGCTCCTCTGCTGGGCTGCCGCCCCTTCCTCTGCGGGGCCGCCGAAGCGGTCCGCCAGGATGCGTCTGCTGATCCTGGCCATGGCCTGCACCTGCGCTTGCCACCCTATGCGGCCTGCCTCGTCCTCTAGCGGGCTGTTGTCCCAGCCCATGACCTGGCTGAAGTGCGCGCGCGGAGCCCTGGCGCCTCGGCGCTCGGCGACGAAACCGGCATAACCCCACATTTGATGGGCTTGGTCCGCCACTGCCCCACTCGGGCACATGGTGCACGGTCCTGGCGCTTCGCCGCGCGCGATCTTGTCGTAGCGCGCGTCGCTCCATACTGTGCCTGTCAGCACTGCCAGCACGTGAGGCCGTAGAAGCTTATCCTCCTAACTGGTGCCTCGCAGCAGCATGCCCGCGGCACGGATCATGTAGACGTCGTACCCGACCCGCTCACGTCGCGCCTCTGCGGCGCCCCGCCTGGTGCGGGTGGCCACATAATTGTCCCACATATTATTTCTCCAGATCTCGCGTAGCTGGTGTCCGGCTGCGCGTGGGCCCATATCTAGGGCAAGCCTCGCGTTGGCCGCGGTCCAGCACCAGCCTTCGCCTCCATCGTGGATTGTCGCGCCCATGTCCTCACAGGTCCCCAAGAGCGCATCTAGGGTACCAGGTCCTTCCGTGGCCGTCGCCCTCAGCTGCCTCGTGCGTCTGGGCTGTCTCCTGACCTCCTCCATCCCCTGGCGTCTCACGCGCTTCGCGAGCAGTTGCCAGAGGCGCCGTGCCTGCCAGTAGGACACCTCAAGGTTGCGACCCACGGCTAACATGCCCTTCAAGAACGTGCTGCCACCGCGGAGTTGCGGGGGGACCACGACAGATCCAGGCAGTGCACGCAGTGGTGGTATCCGGCGTCGCAGTCGTAGACGCTGGTGTCAGGGGCGGGCGGCTCGCCAGAGGGCGGCTGGCCCGAGGCTGGCGGCAGCTCCGAGGGGCACCCCTTTTGGGCCGTCTTGCAAAAGTAGAGCTTCTCCTCGCCCGACCAGCCGCGCACCCACTGCAGCGGGTCGAAGTCATAATACCCCGCGTTGCAATCAATGGGGCACGGCGACGTGGACGTGGTCGGGCACCCCTGTTCTCCATGAGGCAGCAGTGCACCTTCTTCGCCTCGTCCCACGACTCTGGGGCACCCTCGCCGCAATGAATCCTTTTCTCGGTGGTCGTTGGCGGCTGCGGCGGCGGGGGCGGAGGCGAAGGCGGAGGCGGCGGGGGGGCGGGGGCGGGGGGGGCCTCGTGGTCGTCGTCTTTTCCGTCGTGGTGGTGTCAGGTGGAGCCGTGGAGGGCGGAATGTATGGCGTGGTGGTGATCGTCGTGGTCGTTGTGGCCGTGGTGCTCCCGGGGGCGAGCGAGAACAGGAGCAGTGGGAGCAGCAGCACGGGAACCAGCAGCAGCGGGATCACCACACAGCAGCAATTGGGTCCAGCGCCGGGGAAGCGAAGGACGCCAAACTCGCCGGCGTCAACTCCCACGTGCATGTAGGTCGTCTCCTGGACGTAGTCGCCCCCCGCCACCACGTACGAGAGGATCGTGCTGCCACCCGCGCCGCCGCAGGCGTCGCCGCAGGCGCTGCCGGCGGCGCCGCCCGGGCCGACGCCGCAATAGGAGGCGGCGGTGACCGTGAAGCAGTCCGCCTGACCGTGCCCGCTGCCGTAGCCGAGCGCGCCGCCGCCGCCGTACCCAGTGCCGTAGACGAGCGCGCGTCCAGAAACGTACGCGCCGCCAGAGCCGTACGCGCCGCCGCCGCCGTAGCGCATCCTGTTGTGGCCGAAGCTTGCCCCACCAGAGGGGCGCCGCGGAAACAGGACGCCTCGGCCGCGAGGTTATCAGGGGGTTTCCTTGAGCCAAGATGGCTAGGGCAAGCGGGGCCTTTTTGACGCGCGGTTCTAGAGGGGCGTGGTGAGCAGCTGTCGTATCACACTCGGCTATCAAGGACCCCAGCGGGCCCACACCAAACCTCACCTCGGCTAAGGGCCACTCTGTCCTCTGCTTTTCGTCAGAAGCAGTTGTTCGACTACCCTGGGGCCTGGCGTGGCCCCTGGAGGCTGAACACAACCAAAAATCTTGCCCCGTTCTTCTCCACGACGAGAGGCGTCCTGGGTCTTGCGTGCACCCAGACATCCACCGACACGGTCTTGTCAATGTGCTGCCCCAGAGGTCCCGAGCGCTCCCAGGTGGGCAGCTTCTCGCTCCACGCCCATTGATGACGGCGCTGGCGCCCGAAGACGTACCCCCAGATGCTCAAATTGAGAGAACACGCCCGCATTCAACGACAACGCATCGTCGGAGATCTGGGCGTCTGACGCACATGGGGCCGTGTTGGAGCGCCTCTGAGTTCGTCCGTTCTTCCGCCGTGGCTCAGCTGGCACTGGTCTGTCTTACGTGCAGTCCTGGCGGCGCCCACGAGGGAAGGGCGCGAGGCGCGAGGGCAACAGGGGGTGGGCTTCAGAGAAGGAGGCGGGGCAAGCGGGCTTTCCAGAGTGGGCTCCGTAGAAGCCGCCACGCCCTTCTAAGGAGGCCCCTGCCTTCCGAGAATCGCCCCCGCACTCTCATCGAGGAACAACAAGCGACATAAATATAAACTTTCGGATATACGCGCTGATTCCAAGAGGCCCCCAAGAGGCCCCAAAACTCCTCCCAGAGGCCCCCGAGAGCCTTCCGAAGAGACCCCAAGAACATCACTGAGGACTCTGGCCCCACGTCAGCGTCATCGTCGTTGCCGCCGCGGCCGCCGCCGTTGTCGTCGTCGTCCCCCTTCAGGGTCGGCGGCACCAACCGTAAGGCCTGCGCAATATGAACTTTCGGAGGCCTGGAGCGGCGCTGGACCCCCCCCTCCCTCCCAGGTGCGCGGCGCGTGCCAGTGAGGGGGCGCAGGAGGCGCCGCCCGGGGGCTCCAGTGCCGATCCGAGAATTCTGCGCGGACCTCCGCAAGGTAACGCTTATGCCATTGATTGGTTCCCCGATTTTGAAGGGCCCAGGGACACACACACATTAATAAATAGACACAACTCGCACGATTCCCCATATGTTCTGGAGCTTCGTCTTCGAACCCATTTCCCATATGTCTCATCCTTCCTGTGAATCGACGATCATCAGTGTCGGAGTTTTTCCTCTCCTGAATTATTGGATCCCCGATTTTCAGAAGCCCACCTCCCTCGCGCCCCCCCTGGCGGGCGCCGCCGAAAGTCGACCTGCCCATGAAGGAAAAGATGCGCGAGGAGGCCTCGGAGGCGGGCGGCGGCGAGTCGTAGCAGGCGGGGCTGCGGAAGGCCACGCACCGCCGGTCCTCGTAGGTCGGAGGGAGCCCGCTCGGAGCGGGGCAAGAACAGCGACTACTGCGACGGCCCCTGAGGGGGGCCCAGACCCACCGCGTGCCGAAATCCCCGAAAATCGATTCCCTCAGGCGGTGGTTACGGATACCCGCCTCGGAGTGCACTGTGCAGTCCTCGTGCTGCCATAAAGAACGCACAACAAGGAACGAAGGGGCTTTTCTGGCCACGGTGGGCCCAGGCCACAAACAGGTTCCATGACATCATCTCTGTGGAGCGGTCCGGCAATCACAGACCCTCCTGTGCCCAAAGCGGTCCTCATTTCACCGTCTTGAATGTATGCCGAAATCCCGTCCAGGGCACGCCCCTTCCATTTGATCCTTCCCCTCCTGGGGAAGGGGGGGGCTGGAGCGGGGCGAAGATACCGGTCGTGGCTTCCACACGGCCCCCGGAGGTCTGCCTCTCCCCTGTTCCTCCTCCACCTCCTTCTCCTCCTCATCCTCCACCACCTCCTCAACCTCCACCTCCTCAACCTCCACCGCCTCCTCCGTCTCCTCGTCCTCCTTGTCCACCTCCACCTCTTCTTGCTCCTCCTCCTCCTCCTGTGCCTCCTCCTCTTCCTCCTCCTCCTCCTCCTCCTCCTCCAACGCCTCCTCCTCCTCCTCCTCCGCTTCCTCCTCCTCCTCCTCCTCCGCCTCCTCCTCATCTCCTCCTCCTCCTCATCCTCCTCCACCTCTCGTCCTCCTCCTCCTCCACCTCCACCGCCCCTTCCCGTGCTGGTCAGTCTTCGGTCCTCAACTCGGACCCCGTGCAGCCGTTCGCTGGCGACTCCCGCGAAAGAGGGCTGTCGACCCCACACACCTCGAATAACCTCCCAACGAAAAGTCGGCGGCGAACGAGGGGGGAAATGAGAAAGAACCTCTCGGAAGGCAACGGGGTTGTTCAGAAGCCCTCCAACCTTCTGAAATGTGTTCTGTGTCTTCGGGAAATATTAGAACAACTTTTGAGAACGCCGGGGGACTTCCCAACCATCTGAGAACGCCCGCCCTTTTTACCGCTTCTCCCCCGAACTCGCCGCCGAGAAGCACCTCGAATCATCTCCAAACAAAGATATAACATCTTCAACACGACCAACGACTCCTCTCCAGTAGACCAGTCATGATGGTTTTGATACTTGTCGGCCTCGGGGACCCTTACCCGGCTGTTCGGGACCGTCAGAAAACAACTCAGAACAGACAGCAAGTGCCCAGGGATGGTTCCAGACTATTGGGGATCCACGGCATGAAAAAACATCACGACGTCGGGGGTCTAGGAACATCCGCGACAAATCTGCCCCAGGGACCCCTCCAGGCATATAACCCTTGCTTTTTCTGAAATCATCCGACCTTGTCAACGCGGCCCCCTGGCAAGCCCGACCAAAGACTGTACACTTCAAGCCTTCATTCCCCTCTTCAGCCCTCAAATCGGACAAAGGCCCCAAGAACTCTCGGCCAATTTGTCACCGCGCACGATTGGTCGACGAAACCTGGACGCCCGAAAACTTGCCGCAACGATGCTTCTACGACGCCGAGGCCTGGGGACCGGCCCTAAACAATTCGCCCGCCTGGACCTCTCCTGGGGCTCCATCTCATGATGGCTCCAACGAGGATATCCAAGCGTGGAATGAATTGCAAAAACCTCTACTCTCCCTCCCCTCCCTCTTCCTCGACTTCCTCCTCCTCCTGTCACAGAATCCGCGCGGCCCTCCGAAGTCTTATGATCAGGACAGTACCTCCAGGGGCGAACGAAAGGGGGGGGATAGCACAGGGGGGTTGACGAATCAGCCCACGTACTCTGGTTTTCCTCGCGCGTAGCCGAGGCGAACGCTGTCTCCTCCCGCGCCGCGCCGCCTACTGCCGCAGCTTGGTCCGGACCGAGGGCACGAGAGCGCTCGCCTCTTGTTTGTCGAGAGGCCTTGAACATCGGGCATGTTTGAGCTGCCGTTCTGAGTAGAACGTGCTGAAGGCGATCGGCACCTCGAGTCTCTCAGGCGCCTCCTGGCGCCGGATGCACGGACGTTCCAAGGAAAGCGCACGGCGATGCGGGCTGAGGCCAGCTGCGTGCAGCAAATTTCGTACACGACCCTTTGACAATCATCCCCTCTTGTCGTCCGACCATCTACGATGTTCCATCGAAAGCACTGGTGTTGCATGACACCCAAACCTTCGCTGTCTCACGTCTCCCTTGCTCTTTGGAATCGGGAATCCACATTCCGTTGGAGATGTTTTTTCGGATCTGGCGCCGCTGACCCAACAGATGGCGACAATTGGTGGCGGCTGCGATCAAAACAAAATATTGCAGGCCGTGTGATGCTGTCGTGCCTTTGTCTCTGCAGTGCATGGTTGACGCTGTCAGGCGTGAGGTTTGGCAGGCATGCCTTGTACAAGGCGTCGCGCTCCGCCGGTGCCCGCAGTGATTCGGCTTGCCTCCCTCCTCAAAACAATCTGGCATCGGGGCGCTTCCCACAGATAAGCATGCTGTTTTTTGCTTAGTCCGCAATAGTGATTTGCACGATCGCTACATGCATCTACTGTCTGGCCCCACTTACAGAGAGAAATTCTTCGCTCATTAAGGAGTTTTTGGGCGGCGGTGGTAACTGATTTTATCGAGGCTGTTCGTGACACCTGCAGGTTTTTTAGACGACAAAGCGCTCGAGCGAGCCATGCTTTCAGACGTGGACGCGAGCCGATGCGAAGACATCGTGTCGCGCTTTGGAGCCACCGTCAAGACCCACAAGCCTCCTGGAAGGGTGGAATTGCGCCTCCTCCACTGTAGCGTTCGTAACCCGATGGCTACGGCAATGTAGTGGATCTCCCCGCGTTGCTCCCTCATCTTAGGCGCGTTCCTTTCCTGGCTGGCCACGCCCAGCACGTATTACAGATCATGTCGCGCACAATTGTGCCAAGCGATTGCCACCTAGTCAAAATATACACCAAATGATATGTTATGTCCGGTTTGCATGCCGATCTTGTCATGCATTCCTCAGTTGTTTTCCGACGGGCTCCAAACAGATGCATAAGCCAAACTGTTATCTGCCATGTTAGATTGCCAGTGCGCGTCGTGCCTTACTGCGCCAGACAAGGTCTGGAAGGTCAACGTCGGCGCTGGCATGGGACTTTCTTGTAGCGGGGAGGTTGCTGACGCAGCGTGCTACAAGCAAAATGAGCGAGGCATCGTGTCTCAAGATAGTTTCCGCGAGTTGCACGACAATCTAGATTATATTCGGTATCGCGACGAGACTATGCTGGTTCATTCGGGCTCCAGAGCACAGTTGGTTGCCCTCACTGGCAGGCTACAAGAGCTGTCTACGGTGTTTAAGCTATAAGTTGAGAGTATCGCCTCCGATGATGTTCAGATGCTCGACGTCGTGTTCTATCGTGGGCCCCGTTGGCGCTCCACGGCCACCGCATCCATATTAAGCGGTCGTCTTTGTAGATCCCCCTCAGCGATCGCAGTATGCATCCCGGTGGCGTGGACCGAGCATGGCCGCTCGCTCACGCGCACCGCGTGCGACGTTTGTGTTCGAAGCGGCAGCACGCCGATAGTGAGATCAAGAAGTTTCGCAGCATTTTGCCTCAGCACTCCTCACGCATAGCACCATCACCACGAATATTGGGAGCGCGGAATCCCTGGCACAACTGTCCATCGGCAGAAGCCTGTGACTCGTATTGTAATGCCATATTGCAATCAATGGCACGCTGCGGGCGTACAGCGTATAGTAAATCGCGCTGTGAAGCCATGGCGCTCGTAACACGGAAGTGTCTCCTCCATCGGCGTCGCATGGAGTTTAGGCGACAATATAGTCAAGTCGTTTAACGGCTCTCTTGAAGAAGAGGGTCTGCGGCTTGCGAGTGATATGCTGTGCGACTCGATCGTGGTTGGTTGGTTGGGGCTGGTTGGTAGAGTAGATGCATTGTCTTGCATTGTCTTCTCGGCATCAGTGCCACGTCGTCGACGGGAGGCAACGCATCTCTATATAATAATGATTTTGCTCGAACTCGCTAAGCAAGCAATGATACAGCCAAGGTAGCAGAGTCTTGGCCGAGCATCGAATCATCGTCGCCAGAGCGCATGTTGCCCATTCCCTCACCTCCCTCCTCCTCGACTTCCTCCTCCTCTTCCTGTCAAAGAATCCGCGTCGTGGCCCTCCGAAGGCTTATGATCAAGACAATGCCTCTGGGGGCGGACGAAAGGGGGGGGAATAGCACAAGGGGGTTGGCGAATCAGCCCACGTACTCTGGTTTTCCTCTCGCGTGGCCGAAGCGGGCCACTGTCTCCTCCCGCGCCGCGCCGCCTACTGCCGAAGCTTGGTCCGCACCGAGGGCACGAGAGCGATCGCCTCTTGTTTGTCGAGAGGCCTTGAACATCGGGAATGTCTGAGCCGCCGTTCTGAGTAGAACGTGCGATCGGCATCTCGAGCCTCTCAGGCGCCTCCTGGCGCCTCCTGGCGCCGGATGCACTAACGTTCCAAGGAAAGCGCACGGCGATGGGGGCTGAGGCCAGCTGCATGAAGCGGATTGCCACTAAAGGTTCTGTGGCCCAAGGTGCGCCCAGCTTTTCGCGTCATTTTGGGCCCCCCACGGGGCCCTCTGGGCCTCGCGAGGGGTGCACTCTGGAGGCCGTGGTGGCCTCCTCGGACAGCCTGGAGGCTCTTCATAAGCCAGGGGCAACACCCGAGCCCAAAGGTCCCGAACCCTTCCCCGGGGCAAACTTTTCGCCCCGGCTCATTTTTCGATGGCCCTGGGGCCCGGGGCCCGATAATGAGCCCCACCGGTGCCAAAATCGAAGAAACCCCCCCCGGACTGAAACAGCAAATATCGACAAAAACCTGGGAACCCACGGCGCGGACTCCGAACGACCCGGGTTCTTCGACAGCCGGCCCCGTCCTTGGGCGGCGGCGTGCCGTGCACCCCACCCGCCTCGGCGGCAGCGGCGGAGCCGAACGCGGAGGGTGATACCTCGCCGCCGCCGCCGCCTGTCGCCGCCGCGGCGTCGCCGCTGTGACGTATACGCCTAGCCCGCCCTGAGCCTCTTGCCCCACCCGACAGATTGGAGTACATTGAGAGAAAGGATCTCCCGACCCGCGTCACACACCGTGCATACCTTGGCCGCCAGGCCTCAAGTGTGCCAGTGCTCCCTGGGGATCCCTCCTGCAGTGGATGGCCCCGAGTGAAACAATCCTTTTTCGTTTGTCGGGGGCGTCCCAGGAGGAACACAAGATGTGCCGAAAGAAACAACAACTTACGATCGGGGAGGGAGTCATGGCCCCCGCCGTGATGGCCCCGCCCCACCAACCTTGGGAGGTCTCTACGAGCCCCTCCCAACGATGGGCAGATGATTAACTTCCTGGGGGCGCTTGACACCCCGACAAACGACAGCGGCGAGGCAATATGGGCCGGCGGAGTGAGCAACGAAGCGATAACACATACACATACCTGTGTGATCGGAGGTTGGGGGGTGAGATCGCAGTGAAACGGAGACCCCCGCACCGGGCAATCGGCTTCGGTTTCGTGTTCGTGTCGTGCATGCGGGCGTGGCGAAGCTTGGCCGAATTAAGAGCGAAAGTCCGTTCCCGTCCGCCGGTGGCTGGGAGGTGTCCCAGTTGGGCCGGGCGGTGTCCCGGGTGTCAGTAGGAGCGAAAGTCCGTTTCCCGTCCGCCGGTGGCCGGGAGGTGTCCCAATTGGGCCAGGCGGTGTCCCGGGTGTCCGGGGGGTCCTGGCGCTAACGCATGTCGCTAATTTCATAATTCATTTTTTTCGGCGCCTGCGGCGGGCTTTCTTATCCAATCCAGCTTATCTTTTCCAATCCATCTTGTCCAATCCAATCCATCTTATCTGATCCAACCCATATTGTCTCATCTTATCTTACTTATCCCACCCAATCCAATACACCCAACGCAATCCATCAGAGAGAGAAAGAGAAAGACAGAGAGAGAGAGAGACAGAGGGAAAGAGAGAGATGAGATCAAGGTGACAGGCTGGAGGTCAGTCAGGGTGGGCATTTGATCTCAATCCCCCCCTCCTTATCGCCCGCAGGGCGGTTGTATAGGTTTTTCATATATATATGTATATGCACACATATATCTACACATATACATACACACACATTTACATATATATATATATATATAGATATGTGTGTTTACAGAGACATAGATAGATGCGTCTGCTTCCCGGCAAGACTTGTGAAATCCCAGAGCACGTCCGACAGCGGCGGCGCCAGGTTCTCCTTCACGCGAGGGGCACATGAACGAGAGGGGGGCCAGCTCGGGAGGGGGGAGCCATCGAGCTGGAATCGGCGATGCATCGCCGAGAGGACCCCGACGGCGCATCCCCACGCCCCCTGGGCGGGGTGGGCCATCGGGTCCCTGCCGGCGAGGAGCGGGCGCTCGAGGCTCGACGCCTCCCTCCCTGAGCCGGCCTTACTCGGCGGTAGACCTCCCCTTAGTGAAAACGACCTGGGACCGAAACCGACGGACCTGGACCCGCAAACATGACGGCCGCGACGCCCTCTCGCGAACCGAAAACGGCCCATTCCTCAATCGACGTGTCAGGGTAGGAGGTCTATCCACCCGCCCCGTTCCTGACCTGCTCCTCCCCGCCCCCCCTTCTGGGCAGTCAACCTCCGTCTCGCCCTCCTGCTCCTCCAGCTCCTCCTCCTCCTCCTCCTCCTCCTCCTCCTCCTCCTCCTGCTCCTCTCCCGCCCTCGGACCGTTGCCCCGGATCCTTGACGGCGGGCGCCTGGCCCCTGCCGCACGCTGCCTCGGCGGGCGCCTCCGCGGGCCTCCCGGCGGCGGGGCCCTGGCGGCCCACGGGCGCCCCGGCCCTGGGCTGCAGGGGCCCCCGGGCGGGGCTCGTCGGGGGGCACATCCACCACGGGGCGCCGCGCGCCGCCTCGCCGTCGGATGCCTGCCAGAAGTGGCCCCCCATGATCTCCGAGGATGGCGCGCACGGTGAGGGGCACCGGGTGCTGCCAGGGATAAGGAGCCCTCGGAGAAGGAGTCCAGGGTCCGGAAGACGGTGGGGCTCCCATTGGGGCTTGGCCACGTGTACCACCGCCGCCCTCGTGAGGTAAAGAATCCTCCAGGGTCTGCAGCCTCCAAATCCCTGGCGTCTTTCCTCGATGTGCGGCCTCTGCAGCATGGGGCCCGTTGCCGGGCCCAATGCAGCCAGGGGGGGCTACCAAAAACGGGCCCCTGGCGAAGAACTGGCCCTGGGGAAAGGGTCGGGACCTCTGCGGCCGCTCATTGGCCATATCATATCATATCGGCGGATGTCTGGCCCTGGCGCAGGTGCTGTCCCGACTATCTTCGCGCGCCATATCTGGAGCCTCTTGGGCCCCCTGGGCCTCGTGAGTGGGGGGGGGCAGAAGGGTACTGCGATACCGCAACTCCCCAGACCTCTCCATGGGTGCGTTCTGCCCATAATTTCAAAATGGAGCCTGCCGTGGAGACGGGGGAAGCGTAGCGGTACCGGCACGCGACGTTGCGCACAAAAATGCTGAACCGCGGGAAGATCACGACCAGAGCCCCCGACCCCATCTTCCTGCTGCAGCTTTCGAGCTGGATGGACTCACGATGGCCCTGGGGCCCGAAGCCGGGCCAACGCGCTCCTTGCGAAAAGGTTGCCTCGCCCAGGTCGCTGGGCTCTTCTCCTCGGAGCAAGAGGTACTCTGGCAGCTGGGGCCGGGGCCACTTCTGGCAGCACCCGAGGGCCTCGGCCGTCGCCCAGGGGCTGTCCTGCAGGAGGGGCGAGGCCTTCGGCCGGACAGCTGGGCAGCGCACGGCCCGTCATGGGCCGGCCCGGGGTCGGCCCCGCCAGGACTGGCGCAGTCGCATAGCGTATGTGGTCGTCCCCTGCGATCCGGGCAGCATCAGTGTGTTCCAGCCGGGCGTTTTCGCCCTGTTCGGGCGCTGTGACCCTGACAGTCAGGAGGGGACAAAAACACACAGACAAGATGAATCGTCGCCTCCCAGGAAAGTCATGGGAAAATGGGGAGACGAAAACCCAGAAGATATGGGAAAGTTGGCAAAGATAGGGAACCCTGATATTTGAGTGTGTACTTACTATTGTCCCCGGGCCTCTTTATACATAGATCGACCTGGCTCGAACAGGGCGAGGAAAGATGAGGTCTGGGGCTCTGGCCGTCGGACGTCGGGGCGCTACGTCGGACCTCAGGGTCGCACTGCCATCAAGGGCTCCTAAGTTCGCGCTTCGCGCTCCGCGAAGCGCGAAGCGCGAATAACTTCGCGCTCTCGCGCCGCCCCCCCAAAGGGAGAAAAGGAGGACGAGGAGGAGGGGGAGGAGAAACGAGGACCGCGAAGCGCGAATAACTTCGCGCCCTCGAGGGAGCCCTTGGCCATGAGGAACGCTCAACGAGGATGGGCGGGGGCTTCTCTGAGCACGGCGAGCCTCGGCATCGAACAGGGCAGCCGAGCAAGATCTACAGAACGGCCTGGAAGCCAGCCCCTCTGGAGCACAGAATGCTAATCAGTTCAGCGTCTGGACTGCAAGTGCAGCCTCCGCCCAGATATCTGACGATCTGTTGTTTCTGAATCTATTTGTTTCCTCGATGTGGGCCTCCGGGGCCTATTATCGGGCCCTTTGCCAGACCACCAAACAGACATGGATCTGGTGCGAACTGGTCCCGGAGAAAAGGTCGGGACCTCAACGGGGCCGCGCGTTGGAAAAATCACGTCGGCGGCGGACGTTTGGGAGTACAGCTGGCGCCGCCCCAAAAATGTACGCGAGCTCGTGGCCCAAAATTCGGCCTCTCTGGCCTACTCGCGGGCCCCCCCCTGGGTCCATAATGGCTCGTTTCCCGAGCAGCGCGCAGCCGTGGCGACGAGGAGGCCCCCCAGAGACTGAAAATCGGCTACACGCAAGAGCGAGCCTGGGCAAGAGTGACCTCCCTTGGTGCGCGGCTTGCCTATCGTTGCAAACGATGCTGCAGTGGCGGCCCGCGTGCTTGAAGTTGCCCCCCGCGCGAACCCCCGAGAACCGACCACCAACGGTCACTCTGGCGAAGGGCCACTCTGACGCGTAGCCGAGAAAAGCGAGCCCGAGCATCCCAAACATCAGATGCCTTGAGTGTTCGAGTAGATAGTTACGGCGTCCCCAGAATCCCCGACGCTTTCCACGGTCTTTATCTCGAGCCATTGTTTGACGGTGCGGGGGCTCGGTAAGGGCCCACATGCCAGAAATGGCAGCAAACCGGCCACCTCGATTTTCTCGAGGCGCTGGACGTCTGGGAAGGAGGCCGAGCATCGGATGAGGGCTGGTTGACAACGGCGGCTCTCGGCCCCAATCCACTCACAATGGGTCCCTGGACCAGCCTGGACCCCTCCAGGGATCCATCCCGACAACATGCTCGACGCGGATCAGCCGTCGCAACGAGAAGCCTCCGGGAGGCCCACAGAGGAAGAAGAACGCCAGTGAGGGCAGCCGCTTCTCTCGACTGCCCCTCCCCAGGGAGGGCCAGCCGAAACGAAGGCGGCCCTCCCTGGAACTGTTCCATCGCAGTGTCGGTCCACTTTCTCTGCGCAAAACAGCAGAATCATAGCTAACATCGAGAAGAATCGGGGGGATCGGATCGGAACCGGAACCGCCATCAGAAATCGCAATCGAGAGATCGAGATCGGAACATCAACTTAAACCCAGACATGCGACGCCTTGTTTTTACGGTGTCCATGACGGAAGCCCCGACCCTGTCCCCGGGGCAATGTTTCCATCCCGATCCCGATTTTGACGGTCCAGGAGTCCTGGGCCCGGCGAGGGCCCCTGGAGGCCGAAACGGCCAGAATCCTGGCGTCGTGCTTCGTGGGTACTGTGCGACGCGAGCATGTCTGGGAAGGAGCTCGGACCGCAGCCCAGAATCGAAAGAAGGACACCGAGATCGGACCGGATCGGAACCCGGCCGGCTCGGCTCCTCCGAGAACAGCGAGGGCGTGTCCTGTGGGTCGGACGAAAGGGGGGAGTGACAGCAGAGGGACGGGTCAGCACATCAGTCGGGTGTTCGCGGACGGGGGGCAACAAACGTGGGGTGAAGAAGCGTCCATCGTTCGGAGCACCTTTCGACTGGCAGTGGCAGCTTAGGAGCAGCTTCAGGCCTCTTTAGGGACACTCTCCTGCTGTCCTCGAACCCCCCCTCGCATATTGCCCCCCCGTTACCGTCCGTCGCCAGAGGCGCACATGCCTCGAGGAGAGCGCCCGGCGACGAGGCCGAAAGCAGCTGCAAAAGCAACAGACGTCGCACCCCCAAATTTCCCTATGCTTAACCCCCCACGATCCAGCGCCACGAATCAAAACTGCAAGATCGATGTTGTGGTGCTTTTCGGTCGAGAACACTGGTCTCTGGTCGAGTTGCAGGAAAGTTGGGATCGAGGAGCTCTGGTCGTGGTTTCTCACGATTGCGGGAAGCCGCGATCGGATCTCTCGACCCGACCTTCCTGCGGCATCTTTCGAGCTGGGGTCATGGGGCCCGAATCTGGATGAAAACGTCCAGGGTGAAATGGGAACCGCGCGTATCTACGCTAAGGTATCTGGGTCCTGTGCCATGGGGCTTCGCGGAACCGCAACAGGGCAATCTACAGTGTATAATTTTCGGGTCTGGTTCTCTAAGCGACAGGTGTCAATCAGCATACGCACTTTGTGCTTGGGCCACAACTTGCTAAAGAGTGGTGGACAAACAAAACGTTGCATGGTGGATGTGCTCCTGATCCCGATGCAAAACCAGAGATCCGGCGATTTACTTTTCTCAATGCGCGGCCCCAGGAGGTCCTGGTCCATGCCCCATTTGCCGTCCCGATCCATTTTGATGGACACGAGGCCATGAAATGGCCCCTGGAAGCCCAAATCGAGGACAAAAATATGAAAACTAGATCGTCGGAGATCTGGGATCTCGACCACTTCCCAGGGGCGACTCTCTCATCCCGAATTGTTTCTGGCAGTCCCGGCAATGGGACACGACCCTCCGGAGGCCCGAACTGACGCGCAACCGGCCGCCCTGATCCGAGGGTTCGCCCGACCCGAGTCCTGCGAATCGGGGAGGCACTCCGACAGCTGCAGCCTCATCGGGAGCGGCCAAGAGGGGGGTGTCCGAGAGGGGGGGGTGCAAATCATGACCGGCGGCATGTGCGCGGCCCAGCGGGGGGGCCAGGGACGTAATGAAACAAGAAGAGGCGCCATGAAATCTGGGGAAATATCATGGCCCCCGCCATGATATCCACCCCCCCCTAGTCATCACCCCCCTCTTTTCCGCCCCCGACCTCAGCGGCGGCGGAGCCCGCGCGGCGCTCGCCGCGGCCACGCCGCTGGAGCTGCTTGCGCACGGCGACGACTGCGCGGGGCTCGCGCCAGAGGCCGCGGCGGGCCCCGGCGCCTCGGCAGGTGGGAAGCCTCACGCATGGGCGAAGGGACCCAAGGAGACAGAAATCAATAGGCACGGATCCCAAGATTCCCCATCTGCTCTCATACTTTCTGGGCTTTCTTCTTCCCCCCACTTCCCATGTTTTCCAACCTCGTCCCCGGACTCGACGATTCATTGTGTCTGTGTGCGCTCTTCCCCTGCTGACTGGGGTCGGAATGCGGCCATCGTGCTCCCGCGTCGTGGGACAGGCACGGCGTGGGGCTCGGGGCCGTTCTCGGCCGCCGGGGGCCCTGGCCGGGCCCCGCGGCACCGCCAGCAAAACCACTCGGGGCGGACAGGAGCGGCCCTACAGGGGGTCGGGGCTTCCAGGGGGCCCCATGTGGAAAAGCTGCAGATCTGCCGCCGCGCCGCCTGTTGCGAACGCGCCCAACGTGGACGACGCCGGCACCGCGGCAGACCCAGGGCAAGCCCACCGCCTGAGGCGGCGTTTGCCCCCGGTGCCCGCGGCGCCCTCGACGCCAGGCCGCGCGTCGGCCCCAAACGGCGCGGCGACACGTCTCGTGTCTGGGGTGTCATCCTGTATCCTGTGTCGCTCCGTGGGTGTCTCGTGTCTGGAAGGCCCCTGCACGGGGCCGGGCAGCGGCCCCCCCCGGAGGCCGACGGCACGACGAGAGGCTGGCCGCCACGGTTTCTGTGCCACGCCCGGGCCCGAGAGCGCCCGCGTTGCCGCTCCGGGCCTCCCGAGCGGGGTCCGAGCAGATGGGGTCTGGGGATCGCGCCGCATTGCCGATGCATCGGCGGCGCGGCCCGATGTGGAGCCCCCAGGAGGAAGGGGGCAGAGCACCATGGTCCGGGGGGCCAAGGGGCGCATCGAAAGAACAGAGAGGGGGGCCATGGAGGCTAGGCTCCAGTCATGATATCCAGCCCCCTCCCCTGGTCGTGGGTCCTTACCCTCTCTTGGGAGCCCCCCGAAAAGGAGGGTCAAGATGAGGACGGCGGCGGCGGCAACGACTCCATCATAACACTTATCACCACCACCATCACCACCACCACCATCATCCTTCTCATCATCACCATCATCATCATCCTCATCCTCATCCTCATCCTCATCCTCGTTCTCCTCCTCCTCCTCATTATCATAGTAATCCTCAGCATCAGCACCAAGATCATCATCCTAATCATCATCGTCATCATCATCGTCATCATCATCATCATCATCATCATCATCATCATCATCATCATCATCCTGATCATCATATTCATCCTCACCACCATCATCATCATCATCATCAGCATCATCCTGATCATCATATTCATCCTCACCACCATCATCATCATCATCATCATCATCATCATCAGCATCATCATCATCAGCAGCATCATAATCGCCCTCATCATCATCATCATCATCATCACCATCACCATCATCATCATCATCATCATCATCATCATAATCACCACGACCCCCTCATCTCATCATGATCATCATCAGCAGCATCATCAGCCTCATCCTCATCCTCATCCTCATCCTGACCATCATCATCACCAACCTGACCATGAACATCAACATAAACATCAACATCATCATCATCATCATCATCATCACCACCGTCACCGCCATCACCATCATCGGCATCGTCAGCGTAATTACGATCAGCATCATCATCAGCAGGCGCAGCAGTAGCATCATTAGCATAAGCATCAGCATCAGCATCATCATCATGCTCATGACCAGCATCAACATCAACAACAGCATCATCATAAGTATCATCATCATCATCATAATCATGATCATGACCATCAACATAATCAACAACATCAACATTATGTCGTCGTCATCTTCATAGCCACGTTTTATCATTATTGGATGATCTCAATACTCCACACGCGCCACACGCCTCACAAGGGTGCCTCCAGGCCATGCGTGCCCTGAGGGGAACATGGTGGCCAAGCATGGTGTGCTCTCTCAAGTGCTGAAAAAAACAACTGGCCAGGATCTTCTGCCGCCAAAGGCGACATTTGAAGGCCTGGGAGGCCGAGCATGCATAAACATCTCCCGCCTTTCTCTTCTGGCAGCGAGAGGAGGTCTGGGAAGGAGGGCGGGGAAAGGGAGGGAGAGTGGGGCAACGGGATCTACACATATCCACTGCCCTAGGCCTGGCCCATGGGCGGCATATGCCTCCTTGGCCAGATCAGCCCTGGGGCAACAGATATGTATAGATCCTGTCGCCCTGAGGACCCTGAGATCCGCCGTTGCGAAAAAATGATAACATCGCGAAGAATCACTGCCAGCGCCTTATGCATCTTTCGTCGGCACTCTCCAACCTGGATCGACCTGTGATGGTCCCAGGGCCCGCAGCCAGGCGGAAAGGCCCGGCGCGAACAAAACGGCAACGCAAAGATCTGAGGGGAGGATATTCATCTGGACACGCGATGTCTCGATTTCCTCCATACGGGGTCCCAAAAAATCCCGACCATTTCCCCCGGTGCGGTTTTCCGTCCCGAATATGTGTTGCTGTTCCCGGGGCCCAGCGAGGGCCCGCGGAGGCCGAAACCGGCCAAGAATCCCCCGATATCGTGACATGCTCATGAAGGACGCGAGCACGTCCGGGAATAGATCCCGTCGCCCAGACGAGGAGGCCGCTGGCAGTCTGGGGGCTCCCGCCTCGTCGCGCGGTGCTGCGGCTCGGCCCGCGTGCGCCGCCGAGGCGGGGTCGGCCCGGCCGTGGTAGGCCGGGTGCGCCTGGTCCGGGGCCGCCGCGAGGTGGGCCGGGTAGGGCAGGGTCATCGTGTTGTGCCTGCGCTGGTCGTCCCCCAGACGTGCTCGCGTCCTGAACAAAAACCACGGCGGCAATTTTGTTGGCCGTTCTCGGCCTCCGAGAACCCCCGCTGGGCCCCAAGACCGACAACAAAAAACGGATCGAGACGAAAACCCGGCCCTAGGGAAGGAGTCAGGACTTTTGGGGGATCGCGCGTTGAACAAATCAGGACATCGCATGTCTAGGTCCCCGTCCTCGTCGTCGGCATCGGCCCCCTCAATCCCCTCAGATCCAGGCGCTGGAATTTTTCCACACCAGGCATTTGCGCCCGGTGTCGGGCCCCAAGACCATTACATATCGATTCTGCTCATGAAACGCAACAGGAAAACGGGGATTTTGGCTCCAGTCGTAATGTTGTCGGATGTTGCATTTTTCCCAACCATCCTGTGGTGTTGGGTTCTCGTTTTGAAGAGACGGTCCCCGCGTTACTCCTCTCCTCTCCTCTCCTCTCCCCTCCTCTCCTCTCCTCTCCTCCCCTCCTCTCCTCTCCTCCTCCCTCTCCTCTCCTCCCCTCTCCTCTCCTCTCCTTTCCTCTCCTCTCCTCTCCTCCACATCCACGTCCTCCTCCACTTACCCTCCGTCACCCCCCTTCACTTTGGCACACCCCTCAAATGTTCCGTGGCCCATGGCAGGGAGCTTCACCGAAAACCCCAGTGGGGGTGCCCGCATGCGTCCGCCACACCGAGTACAGCGCTTCGTTGCCCCATATGGAGCTCCAGCGAAGGCACCAGTCGGGGTGCCCGCGTGCTTCCGCCACACCCAGTACAGCGTCTCGTGGCCCCATAGCAAGGAGCTTCACCAAAGGCCCCAATGGGGGAGCCCGCATGCGTCCGCCACACCCAGTACAGCGCTTCGTGGCCCCATATGGAGCTCCAGCGAAGGCCACAGTGTGGGGGCCCGCATGCGTCCGCAGCACCCAGTACAGCGCTTCGTGGCCCCATAGCAGGGAGCTTCACCGAAGGCCCCAGTGGGGGTGCCCGCATGTGTCCGCCACTCCCAGTACATCGCTTGGTGGCCCCATAGGTAGTTCCACCGACGGCCCACTGGGGGTACCCGCATGCGTCCGCCACGCCCAGTACAGCGCTTCGTCGCCCCATAGGGAGCTCCATCGAAGGCCCCAGTGGGGGTGCCCGCATGCGGCCGCCACACCCAGTACAGCGCTTCGTGGCCCCATAGCAGGGAGCTCCACCGAAGGCCCCAGTGGGGGGGCCCGCATGTGTCCGCCACACCCAGTACAGCGCTTCGTGGCTCCATAGGGGGCTCCACCGAAGGCTCAGTGGGGGTGCCCACATGCGTCCGCAGCACCCAATGCAGCGTTTTGTGGCCCCATATGGAGCTCCAGCGAAAGCCCCAGTGGGGGGGGGGGGCCGCATCTGTCCGCCACACCCAGTACACTCAGACCGATTGTCTTCGCTCGTGCCGTGTACCCCGCCACACATGTCGGCGCACCCCTCGCACGGGTCGTGGCCCCATAGGGAGCGCCACAGAAGAAGATATGCACAAGTGCGGTATTCACAACTGCATATGGTTGGGTCCTTCGCCAAGCTAATTTTCGCAACGTCGGATCTGGGGTCCCCCCCTCGCCCACCCTGGCTCCTCCCCCTCCTCATTGGCTCCTCCGCTCCGCATGCCCCTCGCTCCTCCCGAGACTGAAACTGCGGAACGTATCCATCAGTGATGGGAGGCCCTCGCTCGCTCCTCCTCCCTCTCCTCCTCGGGGAATGGCGCCGCATGCCCAACTCTCCGACGACAGGATTTGCTCAACCAGCAGTTTTTCCTCCATCTGGGCCGCGAGGTCCACAGCCAGGCCCCAGGGCCGTCAAAGACTGATCAGGGGCAGAACACTGGCCCGGGGCGGGGGGGAAGGTCGGGGGCCTCTGGGGCCGCGCATTCTTTTTGAGCGCACATATCGTCGGGCTTCTGGGTGGGCGGGAGACGGTCGCGCCTGTCAGCAAGTCTTCTCGATGCGCGAGCCCCGCTGTGCTGCGCCTGGGACGCACGGCTGGCGCCGTGGGCGTTCACCTAACCCCACGAGCCTTCTGGACGAAGGTGTTTAACGAGTTGTCTTCTCGCCCCCTCCGTCTCCTGCTCGGGGGAGGGGCTTACCTCTCTCCATACCCCATCCCCTGTTTCAAAATGGGCCCAAGATGGCTCCAAGAGGGCCCTTGGCAGCCCAAGACAGCCTCCAAAATGGCTCCAGATAGCCGAATGTGGTTCAATATAGCCTCCTACATACCTCCGAGAGAGCGCGTTTCACGGCCGCTTGCCTTGGGAACATTCGGCGGCGCGTTTCCAACTGGGGGCCCCCCCCCCCCAAATCTCGGCGCCGTAGGGGAACTCCTCTCCCCCCTAACCCCCACTCCTCCCCAAACCCAGCCCCCCCTCTTTCCCAAGGGGGGGGGTCCAACACCCGCCATGACCAGCGAGAGCTCAGGGAGGGGAGGGGGGGGGAGGTTCCAAACCTCCCCCCCCCCCCTGGCGCCAGCGCAAGCGCCGGCGCTGGCGGCGGTCAATATCCAGCAGCGCCGACGGCGGGGACGCAGCAACGATGACCAGAGAGGGCCAGGAGGCAGCAGAGGGGAAACACAAATCGCCATATCCCCCAAAGCCAACGAGAGCCTTAGGGAGGTCCAGGAGGCTTCACAATTTCTCCTCAGACGCCTTCAAGACCTTTCAAGAGATATCCATTAGAAATTTGACCCCATGTCAAAACACGGTGGCGGGAAGACCCGAACGCCACAACACCACCACCACCACCACAAACCACCGCACCACCACCACCACAACCACCACCACCACCACAACCACCACAACCCACCACCACTACAACCACCACCATCACCATAAACCGGTGCACCACCACCACCACCACCACAAACCACCACACCACCACCACCACCACCACAAATTACCACAACCCACCACAACCACCACCACAAACCACCACACCACCATCACCACCAGCACCAGCACCGCCACCGCCACCACCACCAAAACCCACCACCTCCACCACAACCCATCACACCACCACCACCACCACAACCAACACCACCGCCACCCACCACCCACCACCACCACAAAAACCACCAGCAGCAGCAGCACCACCACCAACAACACAGCCAACCACCACCACCACGACAAACCACCACGCCACCACCACCACCACCGCCACCACCACTACGACCACCACCCCAACCTCAACCCACCACAATCACCACCACAACCACCACACAACCACAACCACCGCAGCCAACACCACCACCACCAACCCCACAACAACCCACCACCACCGCCACAACAACCCACCACCACCACCACCACAATCTACCACACCACCACCACCACCACCGCCACGACCGCCACAACCACCGCCACCACCACCAACACCACCTACACCACCACCACCACAAACCACCACACCACCACCACCACAAGCCACCACACAACCACGACACAACCACAACCACCACCGCAAACCACCACACCAGCACCACCACCAACACCGCCACAGCCACCACCACCACCAGAACAACCTACCACCACAACCAACACAAACCACCGCAGCCAACACCACCACCACCACTTCCCACAAACCACCACCACCACCGCCACCACCACCACGACCACAAACCACCACACCACAGCCACCACCAAAACTGCCACCACCACAACTGCACCACAACCCACCACCACCAGAACCACAAACCACCACACCACCACCACCACCACCCACCACCACCACAACAACCACCACCACCGCAAACCACCACATCACCACCACCACCACCACAACAACCACCACCGCCACCATCACCACCACCACAACCCGTCGCCACCACAACCAGTACCACCACCACAACCACCACGACAAACCACCACATCATCACCGCCACCACCACCACAACCCACCACCACCACCACAACGACTACCATCACCACCATCACCAGAAACCATCACACCACAACCGCAACCGACCACTGCCACCACCACCGCAACCTGCCACCACAACCACCACAACAACCGCCACCGCAACGCCACCACCACCAACCACCACACCACCATCACCACCACCACCACTGCCACAACTACCACCACCACCACCGCAGCCCCACCACCACCACCACCACCGCCACCACCACCTCAGAGAGACCCTAAGAGTCGCTCAAGAGGCGACCAGGAGTCTTCACAAATGCCCTTCAGAAGCCCCCGAGAGCCCTCCGACGAGAACACAGGAGGCATCCATCAGGACTCTGACCGAAAACCGAGGCACGGTGGCGGAGCGTCAACGTCGTCGCCGGCATCGTCGTCATCGTCGTCGCCGTCGTCCTCGTCGACGCTCCCCGCCGTCGCCGCCGCCAGCCGCCGCAGGCGCCTGCGCCAGCCCAGAAAAGGAAAATGTAGTCTTCATCGTCGCTCCCCGCCGCCGCCGCCAGCCGCCGCCGACGACGGCGCCGGCCCGAGGAGAGAGAGAGAGAGAGAGAGAAGGGAGTGGGGAGGATTCGAACCCCCCCCCCCTCGGTCACGGGAGAGGGGGGCGGGAGTTCAGCCCCCCCCACCCTTCAATCCAGGGGGGGGGGTTCGGTTCCAACCCGCCCCCCCTCCAAGCGCCCACATAATGTTCTCTTTCGTACCTCCAAAAGCTCCAAGACAACCCCAGATCGGTTCCAAGTGCCCTTCATTCTTGTCTGGGCACGCTCCAACAATCCAGTATCTTCCAAATACTATAAAAAGACAAGGTTGTTTGCCTTCTCGTTTTTTCGCTTTCGATTTGCGATGCCCCAAGAGAGCCCCAAGAGGAGCTCAAGAGCGCCCCAAGACGGCCTCAAGAGCGCCCAAGAGACGCCCAAGAGCGGCCCCAGAAGGCCCCAAGATACCAAGAGGCCTCTCAGACCCCTCCACTGAGGCCAAAGAGGGCCCCCAAACCTCCAAAACGAACCCCAAGATGGCCCCAAGAGTGTCTCAAGAGGCCCCACGGGAG